TGTGCAACTGTCACAATGTGTCCCAAGAATTTTATTTCATTACACAGAACAAAAGTCTCAGATTGTTCTGTTTTTTTAAAAGATTATTGAAAGCTCTCTCCAGTTTTAAACGGCTTCACAGTCAATCATCCAGTGGATAAGCTATGCAGACAAGAGGCAAAATATAAAAGACTGATCTGTCTTTGTAGTTTGTACGAATGAAGTTCTATGTTTTGGTTTTTTTTCTGAAAATGCGTTCTCTCCAAAGTTGTGTTGAAGTAGGTCAAGCTGATCCTGGCTAATGAGCTTGCTTTCGTGGACTTCCTGCAAGAGAGTCCTGGTTTTTCCATCTCTCCTGTTTACCTTGTTTCACCACTTGAAGCTGTTTCTTGGCATCCTGCACTTGCTGTCTGGTTATATTCAGTTTCTAATCAACTCAGACAGAAAAAGAATAGTCATGTTCTTTTGTAATGTCATAGGGTTTCTTTGGAGGCACGGGAACACTTTCGGATGTTGTACATGGTTTTGCTGGGAGTCTTGAGCCATGGGTCTGTTTATAGGGAGGATGTCCAGGAAAGACAGTAGGCACAGCTCTAGGAATGAGATGTGGTGTGTAACATCCTTTCCTCTCTTGAGTGTATTCCTGCATTACAATAAAAGCAAATGGAAACAATAATGAGTTTTTTCTCATAACATGACAATTGTTCTACTATTCATGCTATTTCATGTGATTTTTAAGACTGAAACTGAAAGCAGCTTCCAGCCAAATAAATAAAATAATAATAATGTCAGCAAGTCATAAGCAAATTTGATAGAAATAGTGTAGTGTGCGGTGGGATTTTTAGGCTTGCCTAGCCTAGTTGGATAACTCCTGTGATGTGAAATATGGCAGGCTAGCCTGGCTTAGACCAAAAGCTTCAGTCTCTCTATATCGTCGGTTGTTCTACTGAGACTGCGTCTGGCTCCACTAGACCTCTGATTATATTATGGGGAATGTCAACAAATGTCAGTTTTATTAAAGAAATGACCCATATCAGACGGTTATTTCTGTCTAACTTGGCTTTGCTTTTCAGGCTTTAGAAATTAGAGACTAGAGTTTAGATCTAGAGTCTAGATCTATCATCTAGCTCTAGTCTAGTCTAGTTAAAATATAAAGAAGCTGACATTTGATATTTAATTTATCTTGAAATTAGATAAGATCAAATTAATTATATCATTTTATTCTAGACTTTTCTTTAATAGAATCAAGCTCATGGAGTTATATTTCCGAGTTGGACTCTCTGACTCTTGGAGTTGCGAGCGACTCCAGCGCAGCAGAATTTTCCCATCACCATCCCCAGAACCTTAACCCATGCCTGCCCCAGCCCGGCGGGCGTGGACTAGCGCTCCGCTGCTGCAGGAGCTGCCGTGGCTTGTCATGAGACAACCCGGGTACAGACTACAGTCACTGCATAAACTACATTTTTAGCTCTAAAATCTCCTTATTAATCAACATAACATTAAGAAGAACTTACTTGTGAAATATTATGCCGTTCCCTTTCTTTCTTCGGTTCGAACATCCAAATGCAACGCACGAACCTGGCTTCTTCAATTTTTCCACGTATGTTGTGCACAGTATCTTGTTGGGTCGTCCGTTTTTCTGCCCTCCTTAGTAATGGCGGCCACCGCTCCAGCTCGGAGCAGCAATTTGAGCGAGTACGCCCTCTAGTGTTTAGTAGTATATATCTCTATGATTATAACCCTTTCAAATACTATGACATTTAAATTAAATGGCAAAGTTAATTCGGCAAACGATACAAATTTACTTGAAATTCTAGTTGAATCGATGAGATCGGGTCGAAGCGACTGCAGACGTCTATTTGTGCTATTTCCCGAAGGATTGGAAAATTTATTGAATTAAGAAGACACCATAATGTGTAAATGGGAGTTGTGGTATATATCGAATAAAGTGCCAAGCAAGTTCGTGTCTGTTTGTTTTTATTTCACTGGTTCAAACAATCCAGAATCAATCATAGCAATTTTCTCTTAAAATAACGATTCCAATTATACCAATACTCAAGATTAACTTTAAGCTATATAGGCAGGGGTGTCTGTAATAATCTCATTGGATATTATGGGCCCTGTTGTATAAACAGTTGCGATTAATCAAAAGTTATTAGCGATTGATATCGATCGTAAGTATGTACATAAATGTAGAGGACTGCAAACTTGCGACTGATTTGGATCAATCGCAACTCTTGATAAAGACTATGATCCGCGTGAGTCACGGATGATCCATGCTAGCAGAAAACCCGTATATTATGTCTGACGGACGAACGAAACTGGTAGGACAAACAGCGCGGTCACACTGGCCGGTGTTATTATTAATTAATTAATTAACGGTCACCGTATTTTTTAAAAAGTGGAGCTGAATTGGTATGATCGTATTCATTATAAATTCACACCGTTTTGCTGTCTATAATTACATTCACAGCAATTTTAGGTTCTAAAAGGGCACTAGAAAAGTCATAAATAAGAATAAGGGCAATACACAGGCATTATGAAGCATTTGCGATATTCTTGGTGTATATTTCATTCATTTTCTTTATTTATATGACATCCGAATTGTTTTATTTAATTTTTATCTTACTTATTTATCACAGTTTAATGAAATAATATTTTTTAGATTCACTCATGTAATTATTTCCTAAAGTCATAACCTATTTATTTTATTAATTTTTTTATTATTCATTCATTTAATCTATGAGTAAAAAGTTTTTCATTTCAATTTAAATCTATCTTTTTATTTAATCCATTTATTTATTAACTTATATCGATTCAACCAGAATTTCTAGTATATACTTGTATAGATTGTCAAATTTCAATTACATAGCATTTGATAATGTAGTAATCTTGTATTTAGCATACTATTTTTTATTAAAAATATTACAGATTCTATTAATAAAAACAAGATTCATTTAAACACGATTGTGTTGTGTTAGGTTTAAGATACTAACTACTATTTATATATATATATAAAGGTTTATTTATATGTTAACTTCCTTTCGCATGTAGTTTGATTTAATTGCTTTTAATATTAAATCAATTTTGGCGTGGTCTTTGAATTTGAAGATCACTAAATTAGGGTAATTGATGATGTGGTGTCGGATGCGGGAAGTGTAGGAATGTCGAAGTCGAGTGGTATAAGCACTTCACCCGAAATGCAAAGGTCGTGGTTCGATTCCCGACAAGGCACTAATGTCCTTGGCAAGGCATAAATCTTCATTTGCCACACTTGACCGAGATGAGGTAAATGGGTACCTGGCAGGAATAAATTCCTTGAAATGCTGAAGCGCTGTAATGGCAGCTAGGTTAAAGCCGGGGTAATAATAAAGGCGCCTGGAATAGAATTTCTAGATAGACGGCGCTATAGAAATGCCTATGATTATTATTATTATCACAGGAAATATAATACATGGATATCCACGGGCACTGAAAGTGTATTGAGATTAGGATGAGTTTGACTGCCAATGGCGGATCCAGGGTGGGGGCATGGGGGGCACGGGACCCCGACCCTCACAAAAATTGAGTAGAACACAAAGATGGTAACCAAAATTTTAGCTTTAAAAACAAAACGGGGCCCCACCCCCGGCCAAAAGTTTTTTTAAAAGATGGTTACCACAATTTTATCTTTTCTTTTTTTGCTTACTACCCCCCCCCCCCCCCACACACACATCCCTCCTTGAGCAAAAAATAAATAGGGCTCATTAACCCCCGCCCCCCCCCCCCACCCGCTTTTTCGTCGGCTCTCTACATAATTGGGCCCCCACCCTCGCCGCCGGCTGGATCCGCCCCTGTTGACTGCAATATGCAACAATTAGATTGGAAAGGCAAGAATAACCCCCATCTTCAATTAATCCAATCAAAAGAATATATAAGTATATAGATCACTTTTGAGAACATATCTTGTGTAATAATGATAGATTTACATTAAAATATGTTATTCTCGAGCCAAGGTCAGGCTTAGTACAGAAGTCACAACGATCACACTCAAACTCGCTCATTCATCATTGACTTCTAACGTTCACGTTCTATCCAGTCCCGTGGTCTCTCCCCCCCCCCCCCCCCGGCAGAAATCCCTTCTGCATTCATGATAGAGGTTTGTGCCACCGTGTATTCGTCCGCGGATAGCTAGCGCAGGGCTACCCGACGATACCTGTGTTACTTATCAACTTATTAGCTATTTACTGATTTTTTTTTGTTTAGCCATTTTTTTTTTTAGCTAAATATTTTTTTATTCGTCCTTTTAACTAAATAATTTTACAAATCCTTCGGGAAATAGCACAAATAGACGTCTGCAGTTGTTCGACCTGACTCCATCGATTCAACTAAAATTTCAAGTAAGTTTGTATGGTTTGTCGAATTACTTTTGTCATTTAATTTTAATTTTATAGTATTTAAAAGGATTATAATATAGTTTTTTATTATGATCTTGTTTGTATAAATTAAAAGCTTTACAGGTGTAACCGATAAAAAAAGATTCACTTAATTATGATTGTGTTGTGTGTTGCTTTCAAATATACTAACTACTATTTTTAAGAAGGTATATTTATATATAATATTCAACCGCGTGCCCGTTATTATTTGTCAATGTATTTATTTTGATTTTTTTTTTTTTTTTTTGACGTGGTGTTTGTATAGTCTATTTGAAGATCTCAAAAATTGGGTTATTGCACCTGATCCACATAATATCCTAGGTAGAACTATGGATCCTTGCGCTCGATATCCATAGGTACGACCTAGGCCAGTGCCGTCTCCCCGTCTTTAGTGACGCAGGATCCCAGGTCTAACCAGGGAAACTGGTCTCCGTATAGCAGCATGTACATTACGCTGCTATTGCTTACCACCGCGTTGTCAAGCGGTGGATGGAAGCATCGAAAACACAGCCAGAGCTCCAGCGCCGCAAATCGCCGCTCAGTGCACCCCCGATAGCCTGGGCTGGGCGACTCGCTGCTATAGCGCTGGCCATGAATTGGCCGGCAGGACATTCAGTGACCTGTTTTCATGTCGACTTGGGAGGTAAAAACCTCATAAAGACCGCGTTTTTCTGTGTTTTATTGAGTAACATCGCTACTATCCCAGTGGTAAGTCTTTAGTCACCATTTTGTATAACCTGGATATAAAATAAGAATATAAAAAACTGTAGAAGTGGAGATTATCCACCTCCAATAAAATGTGATTTCGTGGACAATCGCATCCCGGCCCGGCCCAGTGCGGTGCCAGTGCAGTTTGGGCAAGTTGGGTAACAAGAAATAAGAAAATAAGGCAAGTGGTAATGATCTGGGCCTTGTGTTAACAATAAGTTTAACGCCAGTTGCAAAATGACAATGAACCAGTCTAGATCATTGTTGCATGCACAAATTGTTCAATCTGCTGACCATTAACCAATCAGAATATATGCAATTGAACGCAAAACAGTTAGTATTACTGTTAGTGTTACAGGGCCCAGATATTTTTCTTGTTACTCAGAAACCTTGGAGTAGTACATTTAAATGCTGCATTGTGTGTACTTGTATTTGTGGGTTACTGGGGTGGTAGCGTAGCTTATGGACTATCGACGTATACACATCAACATTGTATGGCCATAGGCCTACACTTTGATGTTTATTTGTAATGCGTTTCGACTTTCAGACTGCGAAGTTAACTTTTCAATGGCAGAACTAACCGAGTCAGAATAATAAGTAGGGGAAAATGGCTTGTTTCTTGGTGTAGTTTGTAGATAAAGGATGATTCAATGTTACAGACTTTCTAGGCCTACCTCTAGACTGCACTTCTTTTTTAAATAATGGGGCATTTGCATTAAAAACTGTTTGGTACCTTGGTAATCAGCAAACGACATCTCTGGATTCATGATGATCTGGAAAGTTCCCAAAGAGATGTGATTAAAACTTAAAAACATATTTGCATAAAGATCTCTGCATTTACATATTGATAAAACACTTTTGCGACTCAACAAGAGCTCCCATAAGCAAAATGGTAATGTTTACTTTTTTCCTTGCCTTTTGTAGTACACTTCTGTAGGAAATCACCACATAGCTTTCTTTTGTGCATAAAGTCCTATAGCTAACCCAGAAGTATGAATATAGGCATACAAAAAATGTATTAGATTTACTATGCACAGATGATGATGATTCAGGCACAGATATTTTTTTTAATATGTGCGGTTGACATAGGCCATAATTTACACAGCATTTTAAAGAGATAAATGTGCGCACATGCACATGTAGTTCCATGAATAGGACCCCACATACATATTGCGTACATGTAGCTTGTCAGGTTATTTTTGTTTGTTTCAATATTGTGACAGTAAAGCAATCTGCACAAGCGGGTACGTGCATGTGACATGGACAGAAAAGATAGACGTGTACATTCACTTGTATTCACCTGTCTTCTCAGGCTTCTTAGTAAGATAATGCCTTGTAATCAAAAATAGCACTGCAATGGTTTCATTGAGATACACCTAGGTCTATCTCTATATATTATATATATTATATATATTGGTAGAATTTGTGTCCAACAGGTGCATAGTGATGATCATGATAATTTTTCAAAAGTATCAAGCTATATTTTGCCTTCTGCTGTTTTTTTAATTATTACTTTAAAAATTAGTTACAAGCAACCATACTGCAATCTATTAAAATATGGATATAATCTTGCAAAGTCTTAAGGTCTTAATTAGAGAACATAGGAAAACAACAGATTACATCACTCAAATATCGTCTGCCTTATGCCAAAAGGGCCTTAACCCGATTTTGGGGGTTATTGAGTTATTAATATCACCTTGTAGATTTCATCATTCTTTTTAAAATGATGTGCTTCACTTGTTGAAATTCGATTTATTTATGAAGATAATTATGAATTTCAAAAGGGCCTTAACGCGTATCTCATCTTTTTCCTTACGCCAAAGGGCCTTAACCTACACGGATGATCCATTTGCGTTAGGAGGGCCTTTCTGGCAAACCAAAGGTGTTGCGAAACAAGAAAATTTCCTTATGCCAAAAGGGCGCTAACTATGCGCGCGTACGCGCGCATAGTTACGCGCATAGTTACGCGTACGATAACGGCAGGTTAAGGCACTTTTGGCATAACGCCGCGTAGGTTACGCCCCTTTTGGCATAATGCCGAGTAGGTTACGGCCCTTCTGGCATAACATACGCTAACATACGCTACATTCAAGCCTTATGCCAAAAAGGCCCTAACATGTTTTTTGCACATAGCATGTACAATTCTGAATATTTTATAACAAATTTAACACATTTCATGTAAAACTTAATAACTTAACACATTTATCGAAATTGGCTTCAAAAGCAAAAAACGACCACAAACTTTTGATTATTAGAGAGGCCAAAACCTTTAAACGCGATTATCTCGGAATGGCCAAAAGCAGTTAAGGCCCTTTTGGCTTAAGGCCGACGATATGGACATTGCCTAATAAGGATCCACGGGTAGCCATGAGAAATGTAGAAATAATAACCATCACAGATAATAAGTGTCCTGATGAATTTTTTATTCATCCACTATAAGTTATCATTTCATGATTCCTGGAATTTTTTTAAAAATTAAATGAAAAATATCTTTTATCTTTTGTTTCTTTTATTTGACAGAGCTACCATTGTTATAACCTCCAACACTGTCAGGCACATGAACCAGAGTTCTGAACTTCTGAGTGGACCCAACAAAATGCCGGTTTCCCTTCGAGACAAACATGGGCCAGGTGGTTTTCCTCGCTGTGGTGGATAACGCAACAATGTCAACATTACCTAGTGTCCAGAATTCCAGATGGCCTTTGCTGTCTCCTTACCTGCTCAATCTTGCTGTAATTGATACTCAAACTTCCAGCCTGTCGTATCACATCAAGTGTGTCAGCACAGTCATGTTTGAGGAATCTTCCTTTGAACAAAAAATGGCATTTCCACTTACATGTAAGTTCAACTGTGAAGAGAGATGAAGCATTTTTATGCTGTTGGATCCGAAATTCTATTTCCTTGTTGCATCGATCATAGAAAAGCAGTGCATATCATCCTCTGGAATGACTAAACAGTGCATCAAACTTGTTCAGAAAAAAGACACGAAAAGCTACTTATGGCCTGAGTAACACCAGCTATGTTGAAACATTTAGGTTATGTCACCTTCAATCCTGAAACAAACAGGCAAGATGATATGCCACAAGTTCGAAAGATCATTGCCCAACTTGAAGCTTCTTCAAATGCCCTGGATTAATATCCAGTGGTATCAACATCTTGATACAGACCCTCTCATTAAACTTTCTCAGACTATGTTAAATCTTCATACGCAAACTACAAAAAGGTAAACAGTATATGATAGGACCAGGTGGGGTAACCTCCCCCCCTCTTCTCTCTCTCTCCCTCTCTCTACTGTTTCACTATCCACTTTATTTGCCTTTCTCTCCCCCTCTCATACCTCAACTGATACTTGTTCTATCTGGTTAAGATTTACAACCACATGTTTTTATCTATTTGAATTGGTTCTTCAATTTACACTTGTGAATTACTTGTACAGTCAGATAAGGTATTGTTTAACTGTATACTCTCTCCATTCAATCTATATCTCTCTCTCTCTCTCCTTCTCTCTATTTCTTCAGATCTCTGTACTCATTTTAACCTTTGATAAAATGAATATCTTTAATTAAGCCTTATTAATGATTTTTTGACAGATTAAGCCATTTCCCCATTTAATTGCTATTTCTAATTAAATTGTGTGTTATTGTTCTTTCCATCTTTCTCTCATTGGTCTTTCATCCTTGGTATCTCCATCTCTCTCCACACCACCCCTGTCTCTCACACACATACATCCTCTTGTCATTATTGTATCCTCTTTCTGTTTCATCTGTTTTATTTCAATTAAATAAAAACTTGGTTCAAAGGCCTTACATTGTTTGATTACGAACATTATACCATATATAATGGGCATTATGTTGATGATAGTTTGTATTTATGCTTATCAGTTTTACCAGCTTTCTTGTGCAGCAAGCCTTGTAGTTTGGTTATTTGCATCGTCTTTTATAGAAGGTGTAAAATTATTGTTCATATTCAATTGTACTTGTAATGATTTTTATTCTTGTTTACATGTACTGTAGATGCACAGTCAAACAAGTCCATAGTGCATTACAGTGGCAAATTAATTTATGCAACCATGTAACTCTATGCATGAATTAACAGCTGTGGACTTCCAAATTATGATCTTATCTCATGATTTGATTTTCAAGAAAATTGATCAGTCGTGCCATTATATTGGTCCAGTCATTGAAAGGACACTTGTGTCTTATCTCCTTCTGCTTCTTGCTTTTTTTCTTCTAGATTTTTTCCCCATTTGATGGGAGGAGAACACAGACCTCCTCCATGAAGAAAGTGCATGCCATTTAAATTGTGCAATTGATATAGAAAATATAATTATATTCAGGTTGTGCAATGACGTACATGTAATTATGCTCCTTGTCTTGGACTTGTAAAAGTGGATTTGGATGTAGGGCTAAACAATATTTTTCATTTTCGGCTTTACGTATGTTCTCGAGTTTTCATCTGATAACTGATGAATTTGGGGAGATCGCTTAGGTGTATCTGTCAAGAACCTTATTTTCTTTCTTAATATTTCATAATGTATATTGCATGATGTAATAAGTTTGTCATTAACCTGATGTTGATTTTCATATATTGACTATTTTGTAATACACTGTACATCGATTTGGGGGATAACAGACTTTACCTTTTGTGTTTTAAAGTAGCTGTGTTTGCATGTTATAACCGTCTGATTTCATCAAATTTCATTGAAAGAGAGGTATCCTTGAAGCAGTTTATAAGTTACAGCTGCTTAAGAATACTTGCTGCATAATGTAATAATCCATTAGTGTATGCATCATTGAATCACCCAAGATTTCAATATGGTGGAGGGATGAAAAGTCTCTTGTAGTTTTGTTTTACATCAAGTAGCATTTTTAAAACTGAGTACTGATAAGATAGCTCCTAATTGTTGGCTGTAGTTTGCCCAGTAAAAGTGGTGTCTGCTTTTAGGTGCTGTGTTTTGATATAATTTAAGTATGTGCCGGAGAAGTAAATAATGTAAAAAGCTATAATAAAGTTGTTTGAAAGAAGCAATTTCTTCTATATTTTAATTACTATACTCATACTACAGATAGTCCTATCCTCTAGCTTTCTCAGTGACCAGGGTAATGTATGTAAACCACTTAGAGACATCAAAAATGTTTAGTATTCAATTGAAGTCCTCCCTGATGTTAAGTTTGTTTCTATAATAGAAGTAGAAAAATGAGAGGATCAGGTCAGTGAAATTCTGATTTAAAAATAAGAAAGTTTATGAATTTTGGAAATTGTCATCAAACGCATAGTGGCATCTCTGTGACATTTCTTGTGAGCTCCCCTACCCTTCGCTCTGTGCATAACATGTCATCAATTTTAATTTTCTTCATTATTGATGATGGAATAGACTTGTCCATACAGGGGTTGAATATAGAAACAGATTCGCAATAATGTAGTGGTTCAGTGGTTGTTATTTTACCTGACTGCTAAGAAAGCATAGATGCTTGTTAGTAAGTAACCAGAGGACCGACAGCTTTAAATCCTCTCCGAAGGACCTGGTAATGAGAATTAATGCCTTACCAAAGGGCACTAACGCATCGACTTGGTTTCGAACCCAGGTTGCCGGATCACGAGACCACTGCTATTCCAACTGAGCTATCGCGCCCTTGGGTGCATGAAAAACTTTTTTAGAGAAAATAGACATGTCTTGATTTTGTTTGTAGTACATAGCAAATGGGAGGAGAGACGATTCACCAAAGAATTGCCAATATGTGTTTGATTGATTACTTTCTTTTATTTTAAATCAGGACCTGATCGTCAGGGTGGATTTCTCCTGTAAGTGCTATATAAAACCAGAATATTATTATCATCATCTGTTGTTTTGTTTTTGTTTTTGCTCAAAGTTATAAATGCAATGATATTGTTTTAGTGTCCAAAGATGCCAGATATAATAATTGTTCGAATTCAGAATGATACCTTTTTAATAAAACTCTTTTATCAATACAATATTTTTTGAAAACTCTGTGAGATATACTGTATTGATTTTATGCGAAAGACGTCATGTTCTAAGTGTTATTGTTCCCGGCTGTGTGACAGAGAGTGTAGAGTGAATGGTCCTGGTGAAATTTGAAATGTTGCTGGTATTTGGACGAAGTGGTGGAGAGTCTAAGAGAGCAGAATGTCTGCTCAGAGCCAGAAAAGGTGTGAAACTTAAATCAGTTGATTCAGTGTTAATGTCCTTTCGGCTCTGAACAGACGATGTAAATTACAGAAACACATTTAACGTTTTACAAAAGTTCCATTAAAAACTATTCACGACAAGTTATAAAGCTCAGGCATCTATTCCGAACAAAAGTTTTGTGATTGGTTTCGTCAATTCCTAGTAACCCTCTCCCCTCCATTGCATCAAATACACTGCCAAGTTAAAATACTAAATAGCAAATTTGTTTTGCCTTTGCAGTATGACCCATTTCTATCTATACTTTTTGTAATCTTCCCTCCTTTTACATATCCCTAAGCAATTTGTAGGAAATTTGTGTATTAACTCATAACTTTCATTTGATATTTCTGTCTCGTATTAAAAAAGGTTACAAAACACATTATCCAGAGACCATGGTCGAAAGAATATATATGGGAAATTATTGTTAAAGGTATAGACCGGTAGTGGTAAAATTGCGGTTCAAGGGTTTCGGGTGCAAACTATCCATTCAATATTGTTTTAATATTTCCTTCAGGTTTAGATGGCAAAACTTAAACCTAAATTCGCAAAAAACAGAAATATATGCCCAAATATTCAGTGATGGAGTGCATATCTATATTATTCGCGATATCTATCCAGGCCGGATCGATATGATAATTTACCAAATATATCAATTAGTAGGCGGGAAAATTTGTATCATCATGTATTAGTCAAAACATATTCTTTCACATGATTGGTAATAAAAGCTTCCATTTCATTTTGTGAGGGGGGGGGGGGCGTTTCCAAAACTGGTCTTTACTTTTAAAAAGTGAGCTTGCTCTGTCGAACACCTCATGAATCCACATTTCTAGTTAATGGTGATCGATATTCGAGTGAAGTTACTTTAGCAGTATTAGTATCAAAACATAATCAAAGAAATCCAACACAGCAAAGCTCAGCAAAAGACGATTTTATAAAGAAAGTGTGACCATGAAGTTGAAAGTAGCAACTACCGATCTCATATCAGTAGGGCAAACAGAGAGGGCGCTTTTCAAATTCAATTGGGTTAATTAATTTTTAAAATATGTTATTAATGGTTATATGTTTCAAGATTGATTCTAAAAATACTTCATGATATTAACTATCATTCTACGAAGTTTGAATCATTAATTCAAAGGGAGGGGAAAATAGAAATGAACATCTCAAACAAGACGATATTGTCTTTTGGCACTGTAACCCTTTGTACGTACTTATTTTTTGAGCTCGGGAGAAGCGTAGTCCGCGACAGATGTTGTACAAATCGTTTGACTCACGAATGTTGATAACGCCAAGAAGTGTATATTATGCCATTTAGTTTAAAGGTAAAATTCGCATAGCGCTTACATTTTTAAAAGCCTTTCTGCCCCTCTGATTATTATGTAAATCCATATTCCAATTTAACTAAATATTTTGATAATAAAACCCAAATGCTTCTGGTTATTAAGCGTCGTTAATTCGTTTCTTGCATCTCTGGTTTAAGCTAGACATAGAACACTTTGATGAAAATAGTTGTATTTTTTCTTGTTGAGGATCAAGTATTTCATCTGAAAAGAAGATTGGACACCGGTACGACCACGGTTGGGGGCACTAACAAAAGCGTTTAAGCAAATTATTCAAATGGTAGATTCTTGACATTAAAGGTAGTGATAATTATGAATACAACAATGACTTTGTTAAGTAAATGAATGGGAAGGATTCCAATTTCTTTAAGCCAGTTATTAGAACACTCCTTATATATCTCCTCATATTAAATCTTATCTCCATATATTTTATCCTGTTGAATTTTATTTTCTTAATAATTTGTATATACGTATTATGTTCTTCAAATATGTATAATAAAATTCTTATTTTGCGCAGTCACTAAATGGCATTCTCTTCTGGTTTTAAAAATGGGGAGGGTGGAGGGACTATATAGTTCTACGATTCTAAAGGTTCAAACACAGCAGCTAATGGTGTCAAGTGAGTCGACTCGACATTTAAAGGGCTCGTACGTGTATTCATTCACTAGTATTTTCTACTTCTATTACTATCAATACTTGTACTACTACTAATACAACTACAACTTCTACTACTGTTGTATTACTACTACTTCTTCTACTATACTACTATACCACTATTACGCTACCACTAATATCGCATTGCTACTACTACTACTACTTCTACTACCACTCAGGGGCGGCGAAGCATCGTTCAAAGTGTGGGGGTGTATTCATTCACTAGTATTTTCTACTTCTATTACTATCAATACTTGTACTACTACTAATACAACTACAACTTCTACTACTGTTGTATTACTACTACTTCTTCTACTATACTACTATACCACTATTACGCTACCACTAATATCGCATTGCTACTACTACTACTACTTCTACTACCACTCAGGGGCGGCGAAGCATCGTTCAAAGTGTGGGGGTGTATTCATTCACTAGTATTTTCTACTTCTATTACTATCAATACTTGTACTACTACTAATACAACTACAACTTCTACTACTGTTGTATTACTACTACTTCTTCTACTATACTACTATACCACTATTACGCTACCACTAATATCGCATTGCTACTACTACTACTACTTCTACTACCACTCAGGGGCGGCGAAGCATCGTTCAAAGTGTGGGGGTGTATTCATTCACTAGTATTTTCTACTTCTATTACTATCAATACTTGTACTACTACTAATACAACTACAACTTCTACTACTGTTGTATTACTACTACTTCTTCTACTATACTACTATACCACTATTACGCTACCACTAATATCGCATTGCTACTACTACTACTACTTCTACTACCACTCAGGGGCGGCGAAGCATCGTTCAAAGTGTGGGGGTGTACCAATAAAAGGTTATTTTCTGGAGAAAAAAGGTGCACCTACAAAGGGAAACCTTACAGCGAAAATATACAATGTTGTGCCATTAGTATATAAACCACTACATTGTGATTACACTATCTGGGATGATTTCCAAATTTCTCTCTTTACATGGTCCAAAATACTGCTTAATCATCTTACTTTGCAGTTGAGGTTGATTGTCTGAATATTCATTTGCGAGCGAGGAAACATTTTAAGATATGTGAAGTCGTAGTGCGTAAAATTACATCTTATAAAGAGGGAAAAATAAACAATCCTGATGTGTTTATGACATGCTTAAAAGACCTTTAGAAAAAAGTTATATAAACTATACATGCAGGCGAGCGAGCTTTGGGGAAATATAAGCAAAAACAAAAAAACGATGTCGCTTTGAATTTTGGAACATATTTGTCTGGTGAAAGCGAAAGGGGGAACTTATCAAAATGGCAAAGATCACTTATAAAAAAGAAAAGGGGCACGTGTCAAATTAAAAAAAGGGATATTATCAGAAATAAAAATGGGGCCCTTCCTGCACCTGAAAAGGGGTACTTAGGAGAGATTAAAAAGGGACTAATGAGAATAGAAAAGGGGCATATAGTACAAAGGAAAGGGGCAATCATGACATTTGAAGGGAGCACTAATTAGAAGTCAGAGGTGGTAAGAGGCACTTATAAGAATGTGGAACGGGCACTTATTAGAAATAAAAATGGACTCTTATCTAAAGCAAAAGAAGGGGGCACTTTTCCTATGTAAAAATTGGCACTTTCGGGTACTTGAAAGTGTGGAGGCGGGTTGGATGGATGGGTATTGTGTCCCCCTGTCCCCACCCCCTGGTGCGCCGCCACTGCTTCTACTATACTACTACTATTACTTCTTTTATGCTAGTACTACTACTTGTTCTAGCCTACAACTACTACAATTTATTACTACTACTTCTACCACCATCACCACCACCACCACCACCACTACTACTACCACTGCTAGTA